CGCGCGCGCGCGCGCGGTCGTCGCGGGGTGACGTGCGCGTAACACCCTCGCGTGGATGCGATCGCGACCGATGGCGACGACGACGACGACGGCGCGGGCGTCGTCGACGTCGGCGTCGCGACGATGGACGCGCGGGGAGGGGCGACGCGAGAGCGTCGTCCGGGCGTTCGCGTCCGAGGATGGTGAAAACGCGGCGAAGCGGTCGGAGATCGCGCTCGCGGACGTCTCGCGCGGACGGAGGATTGGAAGCGGGTCGTTCGGGGACGTGTTCGAGGGCGCGCTCGCGAACGGGCGGGCGGTGGTGCTCAAGGAGCCGCGACGGGGGGTGCTGGGAATGTTTAGTTCGGAGCGATTCTTCGTCGCCGAGGCGGAGAATAATCGCAGACTGCGAGGATGCGCGTCGGTGGCGACGTTTCTGGGCGTCGCGGGGGCGAACGCGTATCTGGTGTGGGCCGAAAGACGCTGGAGGAGGCGTTCGGGACGTCGTTCGCGACAGAGCTGGGGTGCGCGACGGAGGCGGCGGCGGCGAAAAAGGTGGCGAAGGAGTGCCTGAAGTGCGTGAAAGATCTTCACGGAAGACAGATGATTCATAGGGACGTGAAACCGAACAATCTGTTGATTGTGAAGGGCGGGAAACTCAAGCTCATCGATCTCGGCGGCGCCGCCGACTTGAAGACGGGACGAAACTACGACGAAGATGAGACGGTGTTCGACCCAGTCTACGGACCGCCCGAGCGATATCTGAGCGGGAACTACTCCGGTTTCGCCGGGGTGGGCAGTTGGGCCAAGTTTAAGCCGGATCTCTTCGACGCGTTCTCGTGCGGGCTGACGATTTTACAAGTGAGCGTTCCCGCGTTCAGGAAAAAGGGCGGCCTGAACGGCGTTCGTCGCGAACTGAAGAGATGGAACTACGACTGCGAGGCGTGGAGGGCGAGTCTGTCGGCGCAGAGACAGTCTGAATACTTCGAGATTCTGGACGCGAACGGTCAGGCGGGTTGGAAGCTCGTGTGCGGTCTCGTCGCGGAACGCGACTCTCGCATGTCGGTCGCCAAGGCTCTGAGCTCGCCCTTCTGTCGATAGATGTATTGGTTTTCATTCTAATCTATTGTGCAATATTCTACAAGCCGCATCGCCGCGCGCACGTCTCCGTCCCATTAACTGGAAAGCCTCGTTCGACGAGCGAATCGTACACCAAGCCTCCGACCGGGTTCTTCCCTCTACCCCGAACGAGAAAGTCCGCCAAGTGCGCGTGCAAGCACTTCACAATCTTCCACGTCTTCGCTCGCCTCACGTCGCGCAGCGTCACGCCGACCAGTCCCGTGTGGTTCACGATAAAATCCGCCCGACCCGCGTCGCTCTCCGGCCCGTCCCTCGCCGCGTCGTTCCTCAACCGCCGCGTCGCCGCGTCACCGAGCAACCACCTCCGTATCCTCGGCGCGTCTTCATGCGCGCGCACCAACCCCTCCATCAACGTCTCGCTCGCGTCCACCGCTCGCGCGACGTCTCGCAACCCGCCTTCCCGTTCGACGCGCGTCGTCTCGTCGCGAAGCGCCGGGCACGCCAATCGACACGTCCCGTGTTCCGCCCGCACCGCCCCATCCGCCCCCGCGGACGTGGGCGCGAACACGTACGCGCGCGGAGCCCGAGCGCGCACGAGCCGCCACGGGACGACCGCGTCGCTCGCCGCGCCCAATTGCGTTCGCCGCGATCGCATCGGTCCCCGTCCCGCGCGGTTCCACCGCGTCCCGGCGTTGTTCGAACAGCGCGCCCGGGCGCCGCGTCTCGGCGGCGTTCGCCATCGCCCGCGCGCCGAAGGCCGCCATCGCGCGCGCGAGGCGCGTGGACGTCGCGCTCGGCCCCATCCGCGCGATGGCGCGGTGGACGACGTGCGCGTCGAAAGGTGATCGAAAGGGCGCGATTCGAAAGGCGTCGACCGGTCGTTCGCGCGCGAGCACCGGTGGGGAACGATCGACGCGCGATCTCGCGATCGCGTCTTCGGGAGACGCCCGCGATGGCGACGACAGCGCGCGCGATGGGGCCGACGGCGCGCGCGCGGGGGCGTGCGACGCTCGGACGCGCGCGCGGACGTTCGGCGCGCCCGCGCGTGGACGCGCGCGCGGTGGACGCGGCGGTGGCGCTCGCGGTGGCGCAGCAAGACGTCGCGTTCGCGGCGTGCGCGCTCGGTGAGGCGCTGGTGACGCGAGAGAACACCGCGACGGGTACGCCGGGACGACCGAACTTGATGGTCGTCGGACCGGCGTGTGGGACGCTCGTGGGGGCGTTCGCGTTGATTCAGAGCGACGACGGGACGGCGACGCCGGCGGGACTGGCGATCGCGGCGGCGGCGTCGGGGGCGCTCTTGGTGCAGTACGCCAAGCGTTTCGATGACACCCCGAGGGCGCCGTTGGAGTGGCCGGGACCGAGATTGTACCCGACGCTCGGGGTGATGTTTTCGTTGTTCGCGTTGCTCGCGAACGCGGAGGCGCTGCCGCGGATCCTGAACCCGCTCGCGGTGGGATAGACTTTCGACCGATTTAATGTCACAAAAGCCCGCTACGCTATTCGTCGTCCATCTGCTCGAGCACGCCCTCTCGAATCAACGGCTGCGCCTCCTCGCGCCAGAGCAAGTGCACGGTGTTCTTTTTTAAATCCACGGTGCCATCGCGAGTGAAAATCTCGCCGTGGTCCTCCAAACACCGAACCTGAATCTTGTGATTCTGCGGTGGCTCTAAGTCTAAGGTCAAGTCTAAGTCTACCGCGCGCATGTATTCGTTCAAAGTTTCGGCGTATTTCGTGAAAAACGTCCGCTCGCCGTGGCTCATGTTCGCCGACGCGCTCTCCGGTAGACCCATGCCGACGCTCCAGCGCATCTCCTTCACCCGTCCCACGCGCTCGTTCAGGTACACCAGCATCGCCCGCTTATTCCTCAGTATCGCCTGCATCGAATAAACTCTCACGCGGTCAGTCATAGCTCGCCTCTTTGGGAGCTCGCGCGTCTTCTTCTTCTTCGTCTTCTTCGCGCTCGCGTCCGCGTCCTCGCACCTGATGATGCGCCAACAACCCGACCCGCGTCGCATCCTCGCTCGCATCCGGCGCCAACGTCACGATCTCCGCGCGATGGTCTCCGCACTGCTCCACGATGGTGCGCATCGCGTCCGCGTTGTACGGAGGTAAAGTCTCGGGATCGCTCTCGACGATCTCTCGCACGAGCTCGGCTGCTTTTTTACCGAACGACAACGACGTCGAGGCGTTGGTGGGCATCGCCGCGGGAGAGACGGATGCCGTGGACGCTTGGCGCGATTCCGAGGGCGCGGGTACGGGTGCGCGCTTCGGAGTGCGACTCGGCGCGTTCGGGCGGTTGGATTTGAATGAACACGGCAGCGTCGATGGGTCGATGCGTGGTGGTCGATTACAATAGTCTATCAGGAGGGTAAAAGCGGTTTTTTCATCGAATCCTCTCGGCGTTGCTCTAAGATTTCTTGTTCCTTCGCCTGGACCTTTGCGACGTTGTACCCGGCGAAGCCGACGACGGCGACGCCGTAGCCAGCCATTTGGAGTATCGTCACCTCGTCGTGGTAGAAGATGACGCCGAAAATGATGATGAGAACGGAACGGATCTGAGCGAGCACCTTCAACGTAAGCGAACCGATGTTCTTGATCACGCCGAGCGAACAAAAATTGACAACGAAACCCAAAAAGCCGGCGGCGGCGAAGAGGTACGGTTTGTCCACCATCATGCCCCACGCGTCGTTCTCGCGCATGTGCTTGAACTCAAACGCCGTCGCGGCGATCGTGAGGAAGAATAGAGACGCGGGCGAGATGAAATACATCCCTTCCCACATACTAAATTTCTTGTTCGCCAGTAAGAACTGCATGAGGGCGTTCTTCACCGCCTCGGTCACCTCTGCGCCAAAGATGAGCGCAAACCCGATCCAGGTAAAGTTCATCTCTCCCAACGACGCGACCAAAGTACCGAGAATGATCACCAACACCCCCAACGCGACATTCGTGTGCCATTTATCTAATCCTGTAAAGTACAAAACGAAGAATAAAACCGCCGGCGACGCCGCCTTGGCCATCTGCAAGAACGAAAGCGTGAGATGAAAGTACGCCATGTTCCCCAACATGAGCGTCGTTCCCTGAAAAAATCCAATCGGAAGCACGTTTTTGCACCACTGCGCGAACGTCAAATCGGCATGATTAGAGAGATCCACCGTCTTCGTCACGTGCACGCCGATGAGCGCCAGCGTCCATCCGCACAGGACGCCCATCGAGCTCAACACTATCGGGTAGTGAAACGCCGTGACGCTCAGCATGTACTTATTGAGCAAGATGATGCACGTCGCCGCGGTGATGTACGCCACCCCGTACCCCATCGCCGTCACGAACGCCTGCATCGACGCCGCCTTGGCGCTCTGCGCCAGATCATCGCTCGTCTTCGCCCGGTCGCTCATCCTCTCACGCCGTCGATCCCCCACGCGCGCGCGCCTCTATCGACTCCCCCGTCGCGCGCTCGCGTCCAGTCCCCGCGCACTCGCCCGCGCCGTCCGCACCACGCCTCTCCGCGCGCGCGCGATCGCTCACACTCGTCCGCGATCCACCGTCTCGCGCGATGTGACGCGCGGGATGAAAAAGATGGTGTTGACGCGTGCGCCGACGCGTCGCATCGCGACACCGCCTCGCGCGCGCTCGCGCGTTCGATGGACCCGGTGGCGATCCCGACGCGCGCCGCCGATGCCCTGCGCGCGCTCGCGCGCTGCGGCGCCTCGGACGTCGGCGCGTGCGCGACGCGTGCGGTCGAACACGTCGCGAGCGGGACCGCGCTCGAGGCCTCGGCGCACGCGCGTGGGCGAGCGAGCGAGACGAGCGAGGCGCTGGGGTGGTTCTTCGTCGCGTGCGCGCGCGGTGGCGTCG